CGCTGCCCTCCCCGCTGCTCGTCGCGACGCCCGTGCGGGACCCGCGCGGCGTCACCCTGCTCGTCGCGACGTCCGTGCCTGTGCTGCCTGTGCCTGTGCTGCCCGTGCCTGTGCTGCCTGTGCCTGTTGCTGCCCGTGCCTGTGCTGCCCGTGCCTGTGCTGCCCGTGCCTGTTGCTGCCCGTGCCTGTGCTGCCCGTGCCTGTTGCTGCCCGTGCCTGTGCTGCCCGTGCCTGTGCTGCCCGTGCCTGTGCTGCCCGTGCCCGTGCTGCCCGTGCCTAATGCTGCCCGTGCCTGTGCTGCCCGTGCCTGTGCTGCCCGTGCCTGTGCTGCCCGTGCCTGTGCTGCCTGTGCCTGTTGCTGCCCGTGCCTGTGCTGCCCGTGCCTGTGCTGCCCGTGCCTGTTGCTGCCCGTGCCTGTGCTGCCCGTGCCTGTTGCTGCCCGTGCCTGTGCTGCCCGTGCCTGTGCTGCCCGTGCCTGTGCTGCCCGTGCCCGTGCTGCCCGTGCCTGTTGCTGCCCGTGCCTGTGCTGCCCGTGCCTGTGCTGCCCGTGCTTGTGCTGCCCGTGCCTGTGCTGCCTGTGCCTGTTGCTGCCCGTGCCTGTGCTGCCCGTGCCTGTGCTGCCCGTGCCTGTGCTGCCCGTGCCTGTTGCTGCCCGTGTCTCGTGCTCGCGCCCCCGTGCGCTCTGCTACTGTCTGCGCCCTCGTGCGCACTGTCCCCCCCCCCCCCCCCCCCCCCCCCCCCCCCCGTTTGCGGGTGTGGGGGTGCTCCGTTTGTGTCGCCCCTTCCTTCTCCTCCTCCGTCGTCTCCCACTGCTGCAGCTGTCGCTGAGGGGGGTGGTTGTGTGGGAGACTGGGGTTTAGGGTTTAAGGGGGGTGCGTGGGAGTGGAGCTAGGGGTGTAGCAGCGGGTGTGTGTCAGGGGGGTGGGACTGTTTGTGGGAGGTTGAGCGGAGGCTGCCGTCTTGTAGTCCGCAGCACCTGTAGTCCGGGGCGCTGTCCTGGTAGCCCAGTGAGCCTGCTGCGCCTGTCGCCCGTGGGTCCGTTGCTCCTGCCGCTCTTCGTAGCCGCCGAGCCAGTTACTCCTGTAGTCCGGGGCGCTGTCCCGGTAGCCACTGTGCCAGCCGCTCCTGTTGCCCGTGTGTCTGCAGCTTCAGCAGTCGCCTCCCATCTCCTCTCCTCTCACTCTCCCTCCTCCTCCTCACCTGCCCGTTGTGACCACCACTAGCTTTGCTAATAATTGTGCACTTTAACTATTGCTTCTTGAACTTGTGCTCAGAATGTGTGGTGACATTGTGATCCACCCTGAGCTTGTACTGCTTTGCCTGCTCTGCTGATTTCACCCCACTTTGGCTATGGGGGTGTGTCAGAATATATTTGCTGTCTAGCCTGCAGTGGGGTACTCTGTAATGAGTACAACCCAATTTAGGGCAATGTACTTGTATCCCAACTCTTGCTAGTCACGTCACTTCCCTTCCAATTTCTCGACTCTCACCTAACCCACTCGAACTTACCTATCTCCTAGTGTGGGCCTAGGCTACTAAGCCTAGGCCCCACCTTCTACTATTTTCACAGCTGTTCGTGGTCGAAGTCTTCTTCACTGCAGCAGGAGTTAATGACGACGCCACGCGTATTAATTACGCGGTTTCGCTTCTTCGAGGTGCAGCGCTTGAATGGTGGCGCCAAACCCTGGAAACGGGGATGCCGACAGGTGTGACGCATGCGGCAGACGAGACCTCAACAGTGACTAATCAAGTGGCACAATCAATCTTCGGAGTGACCACGATACGCACGTGGAAGGAGTGGGGCGCAGCCTTATGAGATCGCTTCGAGCACGTATCCGCCTCGGAGCAAGCTCGCATGAAGCTGCGTGCATGGTTGTAGATGGCTTCTGTCCAAGACTATACGGCGTCATTTATGGGCCTTGCCGACCAAGTTGATGACATGTCGGAAGCAGAGCAGTTGGATAAATATATCAGCGGCCTCAAATACAAGATACAGTACGAGGTTCGCAGGGGCCGCCCGACATCATTTCTTGAAGCAGTACGACTGGCTGAGTCAACGAATGCGCTGATGCAGTACGCGAGAGCAGCTTCCAGGGATGGAAACCGCTTTCATGTTCAGACCCATCGGGCCACGATCAACGCCGTCCATACACCCGACCGCCCTCCTAAGAAACCGTTTTACCGGTGTGGGAAGACGGGTCACTACATGAAAGACTGCCACGAGAAAACGTCGTTGACGGGGAACGACAGGAAGGAGCAGGGAAATGGGAAGAGTCAGTAATTAGCGGGCCCTTGACTGACTGTGCTCCGTTGCCCGAACCCCACCATCCCCACCGAGTTGTGGTTCCGATTCATGCAATCGATCGCACTCGGCCGAATAACGGGGATAATCATGTGGATCACCCTGTGCTGGTCGCTGGCAAGGTGTTAAAAAATAACTTGAAAATGTTTGTCGATGGAGGGTCCAGCCATAGCCTCTTCAACTTGGCGAGCACAAAAACATGCAAGCTGCAACTTGACAGGTGTCTGCCCAAAATTGACGCCCGCCTCGTGGATGGGACGCCTCTGGCAATAACGGAAGAAACACGGATGGTCAGGATCGAATGCGGCGACGATTTCGGCTTTAGCATGAAGTTCCTCGCGACAACACTGGACGGTTGCGACGTGTTGCTGGGACGTGATTGGCTGCGACGGCACAACCCCGTCATCGACTGGACAATGGGATCGTGCAGCATCAATAGGCACGAGGTGCTAATTAAACTGCCTGCATGGACACCTGACTACATCCAAGCCCCGTGCATCAAGGCTATCACTATAGCTCGCCAGTTCAACAAGGGCGCGCAGCTGTTTGCTGTTTGCTTACGCGAGTTGGCAGTTGACACCGACGAAAAGGACATCGAGAAGCTGTGTGCAGCTGTACCGCCGGATTTAGCGGAGCTGATGCGGAGGTACCCTGACATTTTCCCCGACGACCTGTCAACCTGAACTGCCACCAGAGAGACCTGAGGACCACAAAATCCAGCTGGAACCTGGGGCGCAGCCGACTGTTCGTACACAGTGGCAGTTGACCCAGCCGGAACTTGAGGAGCTGCGAAATCAAATTGACGCACTGTTGGAGAAAGGGTTCATTCAGGCCAGCACATCTCCCTTCGCAGCACTGATCATGTTCACTCCAAAGAAAGACGGCGGGCTTCGCATGTGCATCGACTATCGCGCGCTGAACAGGGTCACCATCAAGTCTCGCTACCCAATCCCACGCACTGACGACCTCCTCGACCAACTTCGCGGCGCTCGCTATTTCTGGAAGATTGACCTACGTGGCGGTTACCACCAGATTCGATTCTTCGCCGACGACTGTCACAAGACTGCGTTTCGCACACGCTACGGGAGTTATGAATTTACAGTGATGCCTTTCGGCCTCACAAACGCGCCTTCGACATTTCAACTCACCATGAACAGGGTTTTTCGGGATCTTCTAGACAGATGTGTAATCGTCTACTTGGACGATTTCCTGATTTTTAGCAAGACACGGGAGCAGCATCTCCGTGACCTCGACGCAGTGTTTAAACGGTTGCACGAGAACCGACTCATCACCAAGGGCTCTAAGTGCGAGTTTTTTAAGCAGGAGTTGGAGTTTTTGGGGCACATCATCTCACGCGACGGTATTAAAACTGACCCGGCGAAAATCAAGACCATACAGGATTGGAAGTCCCCGACGAATGTCACGGAACTGCAGAGTTTCTGGGGTTTGTGAATTACGTCAGGCGGTTTATCCCGAATATGGCGGGGATAACCGGCCCGTTGACCGACCTGCTGCACAAGGACAGGAATTTTGTGTGGGGAGAGGAGGCAGAAGCGGCTTTCTAGGAACTCAAGAATGTTCTCATTTCCCCTCTTGTGCTACGCATCGCCGACCCATCGAAGCCGTTCGAAGTCGTAACCGACGCCTCTTATTTCGCCATCGGAGCTGTGCTACTCCAAGATTTCGGGAACGGGCTAAAGTCGATAGCCTACGAATCACGCAAGCTGCAGGCAGCCGAACGCAACTACCCGATTCACGACAAGTGTCAAACATTATATATGTTGTTGTAGTTGTTTAGGCTACAGTGGGTTAGCCTATAGGGGGTACACATTCCTAGGTTTTCATACTTGTACTCATTTCACTGTTAGTTCATTCATTCTTGTTCAACATGGTATAGAGCAGGTCCTTCCTAGGACCGATTTTTTTTTTAGGGCCCACCACTACCTACCTACCTACCTACCTGCGCCCTAGGGCGCCTCGGCTTTCACGCCCCTAGAGGCCCCGTCGGCCCCGCGCTCTCGCACCTAGAGACCTCGGTCGGCCCCGCGCTCGCTTTTAGAGGCCCCGAATTGGCCCCGCGCTTACCCCTAGAGGCCCGCGTCGGCCCCGCGCTCGTCCTTAACGGCCCCGAATCGGCCCCGCGCTTACCCCTAGAGGCCCGCGTTGGCCCCCCGCTCGTCCCTTCCGGCCCCGATCGGCCCCGCGCTCGTCCCTCACGGCCCCGATAGGCCCCGCGCTCGCCCTTAGAGGCCCACGTCGGCCCTGCGCTCGTCCCTTACGGCCCCGATCGGCCCCGCGCTCGTCCCTCACGGCCCCGATATGCCCCGCGCTCGCCCTTAGCACCCACGTCGGCCCCGCGCTCGTCCCTCACGGCCCCACCCGCTCCCCGCACTCGCCCTTAGCGGCCCCGAACGGCCCCACCCAGACCGAGCAGCCCGAACCGAGCCGACCCGAGCCGCCTAGCCCTAACGGAACCGAGCCGCCCGACCCGAGCCGCCAGCCCTAACCGACCCGAGCCGCCCGAACCAAGCCGCCCGAACCGAGCCGCGCCGCCCGACCCGAGCCGCCCGAACCGAGCCGCGCCGCCCGACCCGAGCCGCGCCGCCCTACCTATACCGAGCCGCGCCGCCCTACCTGTACCGAGCCGCGCCGCCCTACCTACCCTACTGCTCCTACTGCTTTTCCTACTGCTGCTACCATGGCTAGCCCACCTGTGCTAGCCTTCGATGCTGAGGGCCGCCCAGTGAAGTTCGACACCTGGCTTGATGACCTACACCTCTTCTTACAGCTCACTGCCAAGGAAGACATCTCGCTGTACGATCATGCCTTAGGCCACGCTACTGCTCCTGCTGCTACTGCTGACAGCACTGCCCGCTCACAGTGGCAGACTCGTGACGCCCATGCTCGCTTCGCTATTCGCAACTCTCTGCCGATAGATGAGCGCGAGCACTTTGGGCAGCACAAGACTGCACAGGCACTGTACACTGCTGTCGTTGCCCGCTACTCCTCACCGGCCTCTGCCGCTCTAGGCCGTCTCTCTCTTCCCTACTTGTTCCCCGACTTAGCTTCCTTCCACACTGTCGCTGATCTCATTACCCACCTCCGCACTAGTGAGGCTCGCTTCCGCGCCGCTATGCCTGATGAGTTCCTTGCCAAGAACCCACCCCCGCTCTGGCTCACTCTCTACCACCTAGTCACGCGCCTCCCTGACACTCTGCGCTCAGTCAGGGACCACTTCCTAGCTCGCTGCCCCACTGAGCTCACCGTTGCCCTCCTCGAGAAGGAACTCCTTGCAGCTGAGGCTAGCATAGTCGCTGTAGGTGCCTCTCGCGGTGACCCCCGTACCCCGTTCTTTGAGGGGTGTTCTCCCTCCCCCCTTTTTCCCTCTGTCGCCTCTGCTGCTGCTGTCGACCTCCTTGGTGCTGAGAAGGTCGGGACTGCGTCTGCTTCGAGTGGGCGCCGCAGCGGCAAGGGCAAGGGGGGCAAGGGCGGTGGTGGTGACAGCGGGGGTGGCGGTGGTGGGGGAGGTGGTAATGGCGGGGGGGGTGGCGCGGGTGGGGGAGGTGGCAGCAGTGGGGGGGGTGGCGGCAGCGGCGGGGGAGGTGGCCGGGGCGGAGGAGGTGGTGGGGGTGGCGGTGGACGAGGCAGCGGCCGGGGTTGGGGTGGTCGAGGAGGTGGTAGCGGTGGTGGTGGTCGTGGAGGCACTGGCGGTGGCCAGGGCCAGCAGCACACTCCGACGCCCCAGAAGGTCCGTGAGTGGTACTCTCAGCAAGGGGGGGGGGGTGGCCTTAGCTGCACGTACGTCATTCGCACTTGTGACCGCACTGGCCAGCCGTGTGGGGGACCGCACGCCACACAGCGTTGCTTCGCTCGACTGAACGACGCTTGGCGTGTTCAGTTCCCTCAGGCCACTGAGCTGCCCCGCTGGGTTGATCTCCTAAAGAAGGGGATTGATATTTATGCTCTAGACTTTGATGCTATTCTCACTGCCATGTATGTGATGTCTACTAGTGGAGAGGGTGCTGAGTACCTGAGTGTCCCGCCCGACCCGGGCATTAGGACTACTGCGTCTGCCGCTCCAGGTATTCGCGTGTCCGCTACCCCAGGTGCTGGTGAGGCTGCTGCTCTAGGTGCGTGTATGTCTGCCCCCCCTAGTACTGTGTCGACTGCAGCACTGCACACCTTCACACTGGATTCAGGTGCCTCTCGCTGTTTCTTTCGTGACCGCACTGCCCTTGAGCCCCTTGCTCGGCCAGTTGCTGTCTCCCTCGCTGACCCCTCTGGGGGTCCGGTCCTTGCGACCTCCTCCACTGTCCTTCCCTGTCCTGCGGTCCCGTCGGGCACACTGTCAGGTCTCCACCTCCCCTCGTTCTCTACGAACTTGGTGGCAGGTTGTGCACTACAGGACGCGGGTGTTCACCAGTTCACCCCTGCCTACGAGCGTGTCACACACTGCACGTGTACCCGTACAGGCCGCCACTTGGCTACCTTCACCCGGCAGCCGGGGTCGGACCTGTACACACTGACTACTGCCCCCCCTCAGGTCGCTGCGTCTGCATCTGCGTCCGCGTCAGGTCAGCTGTCCGCCCCCTGCTCATGTCCCTCTCTAGCGCACGAGACTGTCCTCTGGCACCACCGACTTGGCCACCCGTCTGTGCAGCGCCTTCGTGCCATGCACTCCCGGTACCTTGTCTCTGGTCTTCCCAGGGTCCTCCCTCCCCTCCCACCCTCGCCCGCTCCTCCCTGTCTTCCCTGTGTCGAGGGGCGGCAGCGCGCCGCTCCTCACTCCTCCTCGTTTCCCCCTGACGACTGCTCCTTTGCAGACGCTCCACATGGACGTGTGGGGCCCAGCCCGCGTCCTTGGTCAGGGTGAGGAGAGGTACTTCCTGATCGTTGTTGACGACTACTCGCGCTACACCACGGTCTTCCCCTTGCGCACCAAGGGTGAGGTCCCTGATGTTTTGATCCCTTGGATCCGCAGAGCTCGTCTCCAGCTCAGTGAGCGTTTCCGCTCGGACTTTCCTGTCCTGCGCTTGCACTCTGACAGAGGTGGTGAGTTCTCCTCCGACCTCTTGGCAGCCTACTGTGCTGAGCACGGCATTGAGCAGTCGTTCACGCTTCCGGCCTCTCCACAGCAGAATGGGGTTGCTGAGCGCCGCATTGGCCTGGTCATGGAGGTCGCTCGTACCTCCTTGATCCATGCGGCTGCCCCCCACAATCTGTGGCCGTTTGCGGTCCGGTACGCTGCGCATCAGCTCAACCTCTGGCCCCGTGTCTCCTTGCCGGAGACCTCGCCCACACTGCTATGGACGGGGGAGGTTGGAGATGCGTCGCGTTTCCGGGTCTGGGGATCTCGAGCTTTTGTCCGCGATTCGTCTGCGGACAAGCTCTCCTCTCGTGCTGTTCCCTGCGTCTTCCTCGGCTTTGTTTCGAACGCGCCTGGTTGGCAGTTTTATCACGCCACCTCGCGACGGGTCTTGCCCTCTCAGGACGTCACTTTTGACGAGTCTGTCCCCTACTACCGCCTCTTCCCCTACCGCACTGCCCCGCTCCCACCCCCGCCTCTCTTCCTCGCGCCAGGTGCTGCTGTCGTAGACCCCCTCCCCCCTCAGGGTGCCGCTCCCTCAAGTGTGTCTCAGGTAGACCCGGTCGAGCCTGTTGAGGTAGCTGTCGACTCTCGTCCTGCTGGGGGTGCTGAGCCTGGGGGTGCTGACTCTGGGGGTGCTGAGCCTGGGGGTGCTGAGCCTGGGGGTGCGGTGACTGGGGGTGCTGAGCCTGGGGGTGCTGGGTCTGGGGGTTTTGACTCTGGCGGTGCTGGGCCTGAGGGTGCTACACCTGGACGAGACCTCTCCTCGGAGCAGTTGCGTGAGTGGTACTTACAGTACTGCAGCCTCCGGAGTGTTACCTCTGGGACCAGGCGCACTACAGGGACTGGTGCTGGTACTTCTCCTCCTAGTCGGGAGCTCCCCTCTCGTGAGCGGATCCGTGAGTTGTACGAGCGCCGTTGCACACTTCGGAGTGGTGCGCCTCGTCTCACGGACCCGGCTGCCCCTGGTGCTACGGACCCGGGCGTTAGAGCTGCTGCTGGTGCTGCGGACCCTGGCGTTGGAGCTGCTGCTGGTGCTGCGGACCCTGGCGTTGGAGCTGCTGCTGGTGCTGCGGACCCTGGCGTTGGAGCTGCTGCTGGTGCTGCGGACCCGAGAGTTGGAGGTGCTGCTGGTGCTGAGGACCCGGGCGTTGGGGCTGCGGCTGGTGTTGCGGACCCTGGCGTTGGAGCTGCTACTGGTGCTGAGGACCCGGGTGTTGGAGCTGCGGCAGGTGCTGTGGACCCTGGTGTTGGAGCCACTGCTGGTGCTGAGGACTCGGGCGTTGGTGCTGAGGCTAGTACTGGGGACCTGGGCGTTGGAGCTGCTGCTGGTTCTGGTACTGCCGCTGGGGGTACAGGTGCTGTCCCTGCTGTGTCTGGAGTCGCCGCGCGCCCTCAGGTGTACTTCGTTCTGCTCCTTCAGCAGGTTCTTGGTCTCTCGCCTCCTCCTGGTCCTCCTCCTTTAGCGTGTTCACAGCCTGTCCCGTCACAGCTACAGTTGCAGCCGGCCTCCCCACTACCTGCTCCTTCTCCTTACACTGGTCCTACTGGCGGTCTTACTGAGCGTCGTGAGTCTGCGTCTCGTCCTGCGTCGCCTGTCCGTCCTGCTAGCGCTAGTGCTCGTAGTTCGCGCCAGCGTCCTCCTTTGCCCCTGGCACGCACCGGATGTCTCTACGTCCGTCTACTGCTCCTCTGCGTGCCCCTTTGCTTTCTCCTCCTGCGTCCTCTCTTCCTGCTCTCGCCGAACATGCGTCGGACTCTCTTCGTGCTGCTAGTCCTACTGTCACGCGTCTCCTTGCTACTGCCGTCACTGACCCTTCTTTTGAGTCTTCTGCTGCGTCTTCCCTAGTTGCTGAGCTCGTTGACTTTGCTGCTCACTGTCGCCTAGACTACGCTGCGAGTCTTCTCGCCGAGTCTGAGTTTGTTTGTCCTCCGTCCGTCGGGGGTGTGTGTGCCCTTGGCACGGACGTCCTTGAGGACAGGCAGGAGGAGTTCCAGTGCTTGGCCGCTGCTTCACCTCATCTCGTGTCCGTACTGCTTACCCCTGAGGGAGACCCGGATGCACTTGACATCCCGACTCCGCGCTCTTACGCGGAGGCGATAGAGGGTTCCTACTCCTCTCAGTGGCAGGCAGCTATGGATACAGAGATGGCTTCCTGGAAGTCCACAGGCACCTACGTTGACGCTGTCCCCCCTCTTGGGGCGAACATCGTCAGTGGCATGTGGATCTTCAGGGTGAAGCGGCCGCCGGGTTCTCCGCCTGTCTTCAAGGCGCGTTACGTGGCTCGTGGCTTCAGTCAGCGGCAGGGAGTTGACTACTTTCAGACCTTCTCCCCCACCTCGAAGATGACCACTCTTCGGGTACTGCTGCACGTTGCTGCTCACCGGGACTACGAGCTGCACTCTCTCGACTTCAGCACAGCTTTCTTGCAGGGCAGCCTGCACGAGGAGATCTGGCTGCGCCGCCCACCTGGCATCACTGGGTCTTTCCCTCCTGGTACCCAGTGGAGTCTCCGGCGTCCAGTCTACGATCTCCGCCAGGCGCCACGTGAGTGGCACGACACACTGAGGACTACGCTTGCGGCTCTTGGGTTCGCTCCTTCTACTGCCGACCCGTCGCTGTTTCTGCGCACCGACACCTCTCTGCCGCCGTTCTACATCCTCGTGTACGTCGACGACTTGGTCTTTGCCACAGCTGACACTACTGGACTCGCCCACGTGAAGTCCGAGCTGCAGAAGAGACACACGTGCACTGACCTGGGTGAACTGCGCAGCTACCTTGGCTTGCAGATCACCCGGGACAGAGCACGCCGCACCATTACCCTGACTCAGTCACACATGGTGCAGCAGGTCCTTCAGCGCTTCGGCTTCACGTACTCCTCGCCTCAGGCCACTCCTCTGTCTACTCGCCACTCGCTCTCAGCTCTACCTTCGGATGAGTCCGTAGAGTCGAGTGGCCCGTACCCAGAGCTTGTTGGCTGTCTCATGTACCTGATGACCTGAACACGACCTGACCTTGCATACCCTCTTAGCATTCTTGCACGCTATGTTGCTCCTGGGAGACACCGACCAGAGCACATGGCTGCAGCGAAGAGGGTGTTGCGCTACTTGTGCAGTACGTCGGGCATGGGGCTAGTGCTTGGAGGGCGGAGTCCAGTGGTCCTCACTTGACACGCAGACGCTTCTTGGGCTGACGACCAGGCTACGCAGCGGTCGTCACAGGGTTACACCTTCAGCCTTGGTTCCGGCTCTGTTTCGCGGCGGGCTACTCGCTCGTCTTCTGTTCTCGGCTCCAGTTGTGAGGCTGAGATCTACGCAGGGGCCATGGCTGCTCAGGAGCTTCGCTGGCTCACCTACTTGCTGACCGACCTTGGAGAGCCGCCTCGTTCTCCTCCAGTCCTGTACGTCGACAACAAGGCCATGCTGGCCTTGTGTCGGGAGCAGAGACTGGAGCACAGAACAAAGCACATTGCTCTCCGCTACTTCCTTGCTCGTGAGCTACAGCAGCGTGGTCAGTTGCGACTTGCGTACGTGGCCTCTGAGGCCAACACTGCTGATGTCTTCACCAAGGCACTTCCGCCTTGTGATCATCAGCGCTGCTGTACCCAGCTGGGTCTTGTGTCTGTCTTGCCTCACTTGCTCTCCTCTTGACCCTCTTTGTACTGTTACATATATATATACTGCTCTTGCTTGTTTAGTCTTATATATATATATGTACTCCTGCATGTGAACTGGCCTTGTGGCCTTGCACTTGTGCTCGGATTGTGTGGTGACGTTGTGATCCACCCTGAGCTTGCTTTGCTTTGCTTTGCTTTACTAGACTGGTCTTGTGACCCCTAGTTCTCCCCCACTTCGCCTATGGGGGTGTGTCAAACATTATATATGTTGTTGTAGTTGTTTAGGCTACAGTGGGTTACACTACGGACCCATTCTTCACGACTGGAAATCATCAGCAGGCCACGACGCAGAAAGGGGATTATTACCTAAAAGCCGGAACCGACCGGATTTGGGTTCCTGCTTACAGGCTGCTACATGAACTCCTTATCCAGGAGGTCCACGATTCGAACTTCTCCGGACACTTCGGGGTTGATAAAACCCAGAAATTACTGCACCGTCAATATTACTGGCCTGACTCCTCTAACGACGTGCAGCGATTTGTGTCCTCATGCAGGGTGTGCCAAGCCATCAAATCGACACGTCAACGACCAACTGGGCTGCTGCAACCCCTCGAGCCACCCGAACGACTGTGACAACAAGTGACAATGGATTTTGTCACGAGGGTGCCAGCTGGGCCGTCCGGCAACGACGCTGTGCTCGTCGTCGTCGATCGCTTCACGAAGATGGCACATTTTTCCCCATGCTGAACAACAATCACAGCCGAGGAAACTGCGCGCCTCTTCATCTCAACGGTCGTGCGACTGCACGGAATCCCTTCGGCGGTCATCAGCGACCGCGACCCAAAGTTCACATCGAAATCTTGGAAAGAGACACGGGCGCAGTACGGCACGAAGCTAAAGTTCTCATCGGCATACCACCCACAGACGGACGGCCAGACCGAGCGAACCAACCAGACCATGGAGCTGATACGGACAAACTGCCCCGACCCTGCCCGCTGGGAAGAATCACTCGCCATGTTGGAGTTCGCCTTCAACAACGCTCTGTCCAGCACGATTAATCACTCCGTGTTTTTCCTGAATCACGGGATGGATCCGACGGTCCCTACAGCGACTACTCTCAACAACCCGGTCTCGAGGTCACAAACATTTGTGACGGAGCTTCAGGAAGTCCGAGAAAAATCCACAGACGCAATTCGCAAGGCGAATATCACTTTTCGAAAATACACCGACCTTCTACGACTGGAACTCGTCTTGACCGCTGGGCGACTAGTGCTAGTTGACACGAAGAACCTGCACCTGCCCGGCCCGTCGAAACTACGGCCACGATTTTGTGGGCCATTCAAGAATATCAAGATGGTGACACCTGTCACCGCGAAGCTGTTGCTACCCGACGACTGGCGAATTCATGACGCCTTCCACATCAGCCTGCTTCGAAAGTTCGTGCCAGCCCCGACCGACATCGCGAGGCAACAAGCTGCCCCAACTGCACGACCTGTCCCGGAGCCGACTCTTGACCCTTCGAAGATTCTGGGACATCGGGTTCGCCTTGATGCAGCTGGTCGTCACGTGGATTTCCTCATCCTTTGGACTGATCGCACCAGTGAAAACGGCACGTGGGTGCATTCCGACGTGCTGGACACCTCGTCACTTGTTCGTGATTACTTGGCACGCAGGCGTGTTTCGGATATTGACCACCTTTCTTAAGGTTTGACGGGGGGGGGGGGGGGGGGGGGGGGGTAGTGCAAGGAATTTTCCCAAATTCCTTATCGGGTTTGACTGCTTCGCGTACAGCCCGATTTTCGACACATTGCACGTTCTGTCAAACATTTATCATATAGCTTGTCTAGGCTTTAGTGGGGTAGACACTAAGGGGTACAGTTTCCTAGGGTTTCCTACTTGTACCCAACCTTGTTCTAGTTCATTCATTCCTGTTTCTTCACATGGTATAGAGCGGGTTCCCTAGTGGGACCGTTTCTTCCTAAGGGCCCACTATTAATTTTTTTTTTTCCTAACCTGCCTGAAGCGCGCTTTGCGCTCTGCCCTGCCCTACCCTTTTGCGGCCCCTTTGCGGCCTGCCCTGCTCCTGAGGCCCGTCCCGGCCCCCCTTTGCGGCCCCTTCGCGGCCCCTATGCAGCCCCTTCGCGGCCCCTTCGCAGCCTCGCACCGGCCCCGTCCCCCGTCGCGGCCCCGCCCTGCCTTCGACTCGTTGTCGCGGCCCCGCGCGGCCTGCTTACCCGCTGGCATGGGCCTCTG